TTATACTATGAAAAATTTCAAACTAGTACACACATAATAAATTTACCACAATCTAATTTTTTGACTACAAAAACTCCAAACTGGTACATCTGTTTTAATTTTATCCCAAGTTGGTTTCCGTTAAATTTTACCGTCTAATTTCTGAGTCGTATGACACGTTGCAGTTGACGGGTATGCCAGTGTTGAGTTTTACCCTCCGTTTGTTGCAGGTATACCAGTTTGTGATTTTTCATAATATTAATTTAATTTAACGTAGGATATACTTGTCATAAGTGTATCGGTTTGGGGTTTTTCGTGCTAAAAAAATTAGTTTAGGGGTAAATTTGTCACGGGATGTACCGGTTTGGGACTTTTCGTGATCAGAAAATTAATTTGGGGTAAATTTGTCACAAATATATCAGTTTTGGATTTTTCGTGGTATTAACCCATTTTTTTCTTTTTTATCGTGATAAGCTTGTAGTCCTTGCGGAATTTTAGTAAAATCGATTTTCATGAAGGAGTGAAAAACGCCATCTTCCCGCGTGAACATTTGGGCTTTGGGGAAAATATTACTTATGCGGGGACTGAAATCTAGTCCTGGAATCGCACCAGACGAAGCAAAAAACCAAGGAGTGAAATCTAACTCGCAAACCACTCAAACACTGCTTGCGATTTGATTATGCGACTCAATACTCATCGTTATAGATACGCACATCAAATGGGATTGTTTACAGAAAAAATTGACCCGACCTTCAATATGGGCAAGTAGGGTGACCAACACGGGGCACATAAATAATCATGTGACCGATGTATGAGGACTGTCATGCACGTGATACCTTGCCATCGGTCATAAAGATTAGTATTTATGATCGGTATCGACGCACACCTGTGACCCTTTTTCCCACATTGATGGAAATTGCTAATCAGTTGTTGATCAACGATGACGAATGGCTAAATTATCAATGTGGGCACCAATGAGCGAGAGAGAGATAGCAAGCCATCAAAATTCTTTGGAAGTACAAAGAACATAGGAATGTAGTTATGAAGTCGAGATCGCAAGGGACACAACAATTGAGGATCAAGGAGCAATTGGCATGTGTAATTCCCGTATTTTGAAGGACGATTACTCAAAAGTAGAGTTATAAAGCAGTTATCATTCGGAGGCAAGATCAGGGAACGGTAAGATCATGAGGCATTTACCGATGAGTAGTTAGTTACCCCTTGGAGCAAGGCCATGGAACGGTTATGGTTTGGAGCAAGATCGTGGACAACCTAGAGCAGCTTGCGTACGCTTTTGAAGGAACAACTGTTTAACAAGACCAAGGAATATTGGCACAGGACTTTCAGAAGTGGAGGAGCATGGAAGTAATAGTTGAAAATCGACCAAAAAAGAGTGCAACTACTGAAAACCCGTTAGGAAGCAGTTACCACACAATCCTTATAAATATACCATTAGTTGTCTAACTAGCAACAATATACAAATCAAACAAATTTACTATCTTTCCCGTATCTTTACTTTCTTGCATTGCACCTTATTTTCTTAGCTATAGCTTTTTGACTTGCGTCGTCAATTAATTTTCGATATATAATCTCTATCTCAGATTCTATGTCGTTGACTAAATTTTAGTATAGATTTTTTTACATTTGGTTGCTTTATCGAGTTTGTACTTTTGAGGTCTTGTCTTTGATTAAATTCCGGCACGATTTAGGTCGTAGAGTCCCGGTTTAATTAAAGCCGCGGGTTCCTTCTATCCGTAAGATTTCCTGATTTTCTTGAAATAAAAATCAAAGAAGGACTTTTTTTGTCCCGCGGAATAAATTCCGGCGAAACGGGGATACGTATCAGTGACTACGTACGAAACCAGAGGCTCAATGATCGTACATGGGTAGAGTTATGGAGGTTCGTGCTCAACGTGTGGGCAGAACCCAGCTACGTCCTCCTCTCTTCTTGTCCGGACATAACACCCAAAAAAGAAGGCGATGATTAAAGACGCAGAGGCGTACGAATCGACTCCAAGTTGCCAAACATGTCGTAACGTGAGCGTCCTGGAACCCGGAGACAGAGGGCGGGGGGGTGGGGTTGGGCTGGGGACGATGGGGAGATATCGGCATTTGCAAATTGGAGGGGGTGGGTCTCGGCCCCATCCCCACTTCTTGACAAATTATGAGGCACCAAGCACGACAGATTGTTACCGTTTTGGTGCTTCAATCACTCTGCGAGAGAGGGGGAAGTCGCTCGATACCCTGCAAACGCAAATGCATGTAATGGATTGGTGTAAGATGAGAGATGGATCTGCACGTATGATCAGAAGTGGGGGTGGGAGAGGGGTAATCAATGGACGAGCGAGTGATCCGAGGAGGGAGGGAGGGAGGGAGGGAGGGAGCGAGCCAGCGAATGCACGTGTAGCCTACACCTTTCTCATCATCACGTTCAGATCCAGGACGCCATTGGACGAGGGTCTCTTTGCATTCAATTCCCCCTGCTGAGTGAATTGAATAGATGTTGGCAGTTCCTTCTTTCTGTAAATTTTAAGGGGGGGTGGGAGAGGGCTGTAGTTGCATGTTGAAGGAGACCCACTTTCAGAAGGATGCAGAGGGGGGGGAGGGGTCTGAGCTGGGCACCACCGTGGAAATTAGACTCGGCCTCTCTGTCCGGACCCAATTGCTGTCTCACTCTTTCTTGGCCCAATTCCCGCCGCCCCTTGTGTTCACATTTTGAAATGAAGGACATGGTCACATTCCTAATCATACTGAGAATGTCCTGAAACACCTTCCTTTTTCCTTCTGCTAAGATTCTAGTGAAGCTTCCTGGTTTTTCTCCGCACGTTATTTGCATGGTCTGGTTTCATAAGAGTGAAACTGGACAGATCATAAGGAGGTTGGTCTGATTATCTTCTCATCTCAGTCCGCATAATATGAAGAGAACGAAAACCCTTGGAATGAGACAACTCACCATCATCCCTCGTGCACTAGACATTTGGAGCTTATCAAGAACTCACATCTTAAACATCTTATAATAAACACAATCTCTGTGCACGATTCTTTTTTTTAAAATGATTTTAAGGAATTTCTGACCGGTCATTGCCCTGTATAAAAAAAAAGAGTCTCTCTCTCCACACAAGTTGCATGTGCTTTTCCTTCCCTACTCCATGCTCTGCCATTCTTCGTGCACAAGACTAAGCTCGCCATATGATAATGCATACATCCTTCTTTGATTTGTACATTAACGGTCTTGATAAAGCCATCGAGATGAGAAGGAGGAGGTGGGGAGAAGAAGAAGAAGATAAAGAATACGATAAAACTCAAAACGTCGGAAACAGAACAAGTGACAGTATTAAAATGGGGGGGGGGGGGGGAGTTTTTCAAAAGAGCATTTGAGGTTGAAGTTCGCGTGCACGTGCAGACATGTGTTTGAATATGTGGAAGCCCGCATATGCATATGCACACGTGCCCACATGCCTGTCTTTGTGCTCAAAAGGGGCGAGAGTTAACACAGATAAATGGGAAGTTCTCAATTTCTAGAGAGGGAGGAAATGGAAAAAACAAAAGGTGAAAGTAGAGAGAGGGTAGTGGGGGTGGTGTGAAGAAGGCATGTGAGTTCCATAAAAACTCAGTCAACTTCACTTGTGCACCGCTCCATCCCCCCAAGAAAACTTCTACAGTCTCCACACAAATCAAACCCGTTCCTGATACAGCTTTTATTCAATCTTTGCATCAGAGACTGTGAGTTTTATTATTGTTAATGCAACTGTGTTTAAAGTTCTCTTTTGTTCTTTATTTTTTCTTTGGTTCTGCATTATCAGAGCACACCTAATCTTAAGCAGTTCCCATAAAAAGCCTAACAAGATTCTTTCATGGGAAAAACTGCCCATATTTGATCTCGAACTGACTAAACACTACACATGGGGTCAATCACTAAACACTACACATGGGGTCAATCAAGAAGGGATGTTCTAGGTACTGATGTGTGCTGTAGTGCTCAGAATGGTTCATATATTCTTTCCATGTCTTGCTTAGAATGAATCTGTGATCATCATCATCATGATCATCTCCGTGCCTGCTTGAACCACCTATGCATCAGGACCACAATCACCATCCATATGTCACTGCCTGTACTTCGTCGAATCGCGTCCTCCGATGCAAAATGCTAAATGAAGGTGCACTCCCTGGAGGAGAGAAATTGCGTTCATCAAGAAGAAAAAGAAAAAAGAGTTGACACCCAGAACTAAAAGATCACTATCGATAGATTTGAGGATACAGATCTTCTTCAACCTTGACTTAACACATGAAGCAGAGGAAATAATGGTTCAAGAGCTTTCACGTGGATGAAACAGTTGAATCTTACTTTTCCTAGGAAAGGGAAAGTACCAATGTTTCAGACTCATATCCACAGCGTTGTCTCTTCGAGCTCGCTATTGGTATTGGATCGACACAGCACATGCAACAGAGAGACTGAAATGTAGATATACAAAATGTAACTTGGTCTTTAGAGTGAAAACTGGAGGCCCTTGGATCTGAACATGTGGCTAACGCACACCCAAAAATTAAGTCAATAGCATGACCAGAAAAAAAAAAAAGATCTTTAATGGACTCAACTCTTCAAAATGCGAACTTTATTATTCAGTCTGCGATGCGATTGAAGCTACTCATATACGATCCGTGTGTGCGTGTTAGCCGCGCAAAAGGGATAGGTGTCCACGTACTGTGGAACTGGAAATTGGACGTGTACCCTGTTTTTGTTAGGGTGGGGGTACACAGTGCCTCGCTGTCTAGCATGTGAAGAGGTTATGTTGTGGCTCTCTCTCTCTCTCTCTCTCTCTATCTGTCGCTTACATGGGATATATTCCACTGTCTATAACACTCCTTTCCCAACTGGCAGATTTAATTCATTCATTGGAGGTGAGAGAGAGAGAGAGAGAGGGTCAGGACAAAACAAGTCTAGGATTCTAGTCCGATTCTCTTGGTTTTTTCCGCCCGTATAATCCACTCCCTTTTGCCTCCTTCTACATCTCCCCAAGTAATACAGACACCAACACAACCCCACAATCCTCGAGAGAGAGAGAGAGAGAGAGAGAGAGAGGAGTTAAAATTGTGTCACTCACTCACCCTCCTTTTCACCTCTCTCTGCTTGCTTCTTGATATAAAGAGATCGAGGGAGACACCCATTTCTTCACAAATATTCACCGTAGAGGAGAGCGAGAGAGGGAGAGAGAGAGAGAGCCAGAGAAAATGAATGTCCTAGTCGCATCAGAATGCAGTAGTGGGTGTGAGTCCGGTTGGACTCTCTACTTCGAGCACTCTGTCAACCCCTCTCGCAGAGACGCTGCCTCTCGGTTCCTTGATGAGAGAGATAACGATGAGCTATGTGACGAGGGCAGAGGCAAGGGCACTGAAGACGATGAGGAGGAGGGCTTGTCCATGGTGTCTGATGCATCCTCTGGACCCCCAGTCCACTTTCTTGAAGATATGCATGACCAACAAGGCCACTTCAACAATGGAAGTGACCATGACCAATGTGTCCGTACCACCGTAAAAGCTCCCAAGCAGAGTGGGAAGAGACAGAGAACGAGGGAACAACATCCATGGCACAACAAGATGAATCAGGACTTGCCTTCTTTGCTCGATGACACTGCAAGCTCTCCCATCATCAACTTCTTCCCCACGGTCTGTTTCCATTTTGAGAAAACAAATCCCGCTAAGATTTTCATTCCCTCCTCTTTCTATTCGATCCGAACTTCTTATCTTGATCTTCACTTGACTGATTCTTGATAAAATGTTGTTCTTCTCTTCTTGCCCAGAAAGACTTGATTCTTAGCCAAAGCCCAGGTTCAATGGAGAGTGTCTTGGAATTTTCTGAGGGAAGATCTGCATTTCACGACCGGTTTGGCTTCATGCAGTCTTCTCACTCTGGGAAACAGAATAACCAGTTGAGTCGATTCTTAACATTTTCTTTCCCTGCTCATTTTTATCCAATTAATAGGACGGATATGATCGAGCGATTTATTACAATATTAACTTGCTTCTTGCTTTTTCTTATAGGTGGTTCGGAAGGAATGACATGAAGTTGAGATAGAGTGACAAGCTTGAATCTGTTGCAGATTGTTGCTGCTACAGTGTTGGACTCTTGGCATGCTCTAGGTCTAGGAGACATGTCTGAAATAGGAGGGTTGTCAATGTGTTGAAAAGGAGGGAAGAGAGAAAGAAAGTAAAAGAAAAGAGGATGTTTGGATCTCAAAGAGATCTTTTTACTCTTTATTATCTCCCTTTCCTTTTATCTGTTTAGCAGGCACAAACCCAAGAGGAAATTTGGAAATAAGATTCAATTTTCTTGCACTGATTTGTCCATGTCTGCATTGCGGATATTTTCTGTTCATCCATGCCATTCCCTGCTCTTTCATGGAGGCCATTGCGTAAGGCTTTTTTTTTTTTTTTTTATCTTCAGGGCAACATTATGAGCCTGCCTAAACATTGTAAAAAGGGACAGATTATATGCACTCAAAGTAAAATCAAAGTAAAAGGAAAATGGTTTTGTGGCAGCAACTCACACCATTGTAGGTAGAATTGATGAAAATTCTCTTCCTGGTCCACCATTTAGACCCCTTGGAAGGATTAAAGATTGTCGCTTTTTCTAACTACTAAATCCATATAAAACAGAGAACTTGACTGAGATTGGGCCTTTAGATGCTTTTTTTTTTTTACTGTTCTTGTATCTTTCTTCTGTTAGTTAATGCTCAGTCATCTAAAATTGGACAATGGGATAGGCGCATAAACAGAAGATTAGGAAAATGCTTGTGAAGCCCCATAAAACATTTATGATTTGGCATTAACACAGAAGAGAAAAACGCAAACGAAAGAAAGGCCAGAGAATGAAGACACCATGCTTTGTGTCTGAGAGAGAGAGAGAGAGAGAGAGAGATTATATTAGTATATTATCCTCCTAGGCGAATCAGCAAGATTCTTAATACGGTTCTTAAAATTACAACCCTAATACCACCAAACAGGACAAAAGGAGCAAAACCCACCAAACTCCACAAGTCCCTCTGGTTGTATTATGAGCCAAAACACATGTTAAACTAAGATATTTGTTTACATGAAAGAGATTCTTGATTACCTAATATTGAATGGCTTAGCTGTTCAAGGACTGCGAGTAAAGCCATTCTTTTGATAAGGACAAGGCCTCCATGTCCCTGAGTAACCAGACAAATCTCCATGCTTCCTGATTTTTCTAATTTCTCCTTAAAATGCAAAAAACAAAAATCTTTGCCTTAAAAAAAGAACACAGGCATTCTAATGGGCGTTCACATATTAGTGCAGATATCGGCAAGAAATGCCAAACTTGTTCTTGAAGCATTTTTCATATGCATTTTCTTTGACCCCCTTTCTTAATCCCAGGAGATCCTCCACAGATCTTCTTGATCCAGTGGAACATGCCTCATATTAATTTTAATCAGTCATCTTCATCTCATTCGAAATCACTACCGCTTCCCCTGTTTCTGAATATTCTAATAAATTCATTATTTTTCCCGTGAAGATTTGATCCTCCCAAGTCTGTCTGCTGTGGAGCTGTCATTGAGGTTGATGTCTTTGCACAATTATATGCTCTCTCTCAAATTTTTTTATTGGTTTCTCTCTGGTTTTCGATGAAAAACTATCGAAGGAAAAACAGATGAAGAAAAGGTTAACACTCAAGAATTTAGGATGTCAAAATCAAATCTCTTCATATATTTTATTATTCTTGAGGAGCAGGGAGTGGAAGTCTTTCATGTAGTCAAAATAAATACAAGGCAAAAGAAAAAAATATTGAAAAGGACAAAACAGAGACGAAATAATAATGTGCAAACGTGTATAGTGATGGATAGTCTCTGCCTCAATTACAACTGCCTCATGTGGATATGGGACAAGAATCTAGGAAAGGTATGGGAAAAACATCTCTTGGCCTTCCAACCACCTCCAAAACCTGTGAAAAGTTATCTCTTTTTCTCAGTCCTTTCTTGCAACACAAAGAGGGTAAGGAAGAGAAAGCTGCTCTTGTTTCTCAGGCAAACTTTTATCCACTTTTCAATTTCTTCCACCAGTGTTCCCATTTCCCATGACAACGGTCTCCTTATCCCTCTACCATTTCTTCCTGCCAGGGATGTATGTGCATGAATCTGTGAGGATGAAGACAATCCTGTATTTATCACAGTTCAAAACCTCATCCTACAACTTCTTTGTATATTGAACCAAAGAAGGGGTGGGTGGGGTGGGGGGGTCAAAGAAACGGTACATCAGTGGACCAAAACCTTCTAGGGCGGCAGGTTTAGATGATTAGGGCATTCTTAGTAATATTTCTCATTGTGCTGGCTGCAATTCAAGAACGTGTGGGATGTACCGGATGCCATTGGGCTGCTAAGTAAGTATATTGATAATACTAATTAGAAGATCAAGCTACTCTAAGTCAGACAAGGAAGTTGCTATGCTTGCAGAAGTGCAACATGTTCTGGCCAACATGGGCTTGGTACTGTTGGTCGGAGGCTTGAATTCAGTGGTGAGGCCCTGGTCATTTTTGAGGAATAACGAAAGAAAAAGTACAATTTATTTCTAAAACTTCTTCCTGTCAAGTAACTTATGTGCGAAGAAGTTTTCCCATTTATGAAGATAAGTATACACTCAAACGGAAGTTAGTTTTTCTCATTGAAGCCCCAATGAAACTTCTTTCCGACACTAAAGAAATCTGAGTTTTTGAATTTCATCCTAGCCAGCATAATCTCTTTGGTTGGCCACGAAGTTCTTGGGCAGAACAGCCACCAGGAACATGGCTTTTACCCATATTATACTGTCCGAACAAGCCAACATTAATAGATACATCACATGTTCGGAGTAGCTGATGAAAGCCATTACTGTCATTCACATCACGATCGAAACAACGACTACACCTAGCCAAGCAACTAAATAATCTAATTAAATCAAGGATGACTTGAGACTTGACATAACTGACTCAAATCTGCCGACTTATATGGATAAAATCTTTAGAAAAGCTAATTTAAAGTTCGAATACCAGCCCCCAAGGAAAGGCCTTATCGTTAATTAGGTGGAGACACCAACTACCAAATCATAAATATAACCAGTCAATCAACAGCTCAGGCAAATGATATTCCATGTTTCTTCAAGATACATTCTGCAACTTGCCAAATTTGGCAGAGAGTAACCCCCAAGAAGTTCTCAAGATTCGATACATGTCAAAGAAAGGCATTAATGAAGTATTATCAACTATAAGTTTTTACAAAGTACTCAACTAAGCAACACTCTCGACTGGTAACAGCATCTATTCGCATATGTGTAACATTGCTATACACAACTGGATACTGTCTTGTAGTACAACACTTAATGACTGTTATTTGGGTGGGGCAACAGAGGGAGTGTTATTCCAGCAATCGCTTGTGCTTACACCAAGCAATAGCAATGACATAAAGGAAAAGGCTGCCAGTGGCGCCACCGCCGACAGTCCAAAGGAATGCTTCTGGACCTTTATTCTTATCAAACAGCTCAATAGTGATGTTCATGCCAAAAAGTCCTGCCACGACCACAAAAGCACTCACCACTAGGGTTGCAGTTGTCAACACAACCCCCATTTGCAGCAGATGGTTCTGTTTGTCGTCTAACATTATGTTGATGTAGTCCTCCGTGTCATCAACATACTCCCTTAGCTTCAATGGGACAACAAAAGCAATAACAAGAATGTCAAGAAATGGAGAGAACAGGTAGTACATAAACCACACCAAAAGAATTCATATTTCTTATAAAATATGACATGGGAAAATTCTATCATTAATATCGAATAGGAAGTGAGGAGCAGAAACATGAGATAATTCATTTCTACTTATGGCCCATTTGGTTCTAGAAAATGTTCTTAAAAGATTTAAGTTTTCAGTTTTCTTGAAGACACGTTTGGGAAAATATCTTTTTGAGGAAAAAATAACAGTGAAAATCTGGAAGACTCCCATGAGCCAAACAGGGCCTTGTTACCAAAAAAAGAAGGCAATTTCTTTGGAGCCTTATTTCTTCTTTTTTGGGATAGGTATGGGTTAGACCTAATCACTAGGTGGGCTCAGGCAGGCTATTTGGGATAGATAGAAACATTCACAATAGGACTAGAAACAAAAGTTTACGTCCATTACCGTGGATAATTTGTTTAATGTACCATCAATTTGCACAAAGTAAGCCTCTAACAGCATCTCAAGTTCCTCCACATCAAGATGCTTGCTTATGGCACTATGAATGGTACTGGCACGTGTTCCATGGCTGTCTCTACTAAACACGTTAGGGGCGGCAAACAAATGATCCCGGGGATTGACAACGTTTGGAATATCACCCTCATAGGTGGAACTTCCATTAGCATCCAAAGAAATCTCAGCGGGAACCCTGAGGCAAAGAAACAAACAACTTAAAGGCAAGCAATTATCGCAAATGACGGTCGAAACAATGTGACAAAATACATTTTCGAATACCTATCCTCTATTTCAGATTGAAGAACGTCATCATCCATTCCTTCTTTCTCATTTATCGAGGAAGCAGAAGAACTTTCAAGCAGTTGTTGAACCAACTTGTCTGTCAAGTACATCTCAGCCATATCTTCATCATCATCAAGAAGGTGTTCCAATTCATCCCTCACCTGGAGATAAAAAAACATACACTCCACAATCAAATTACAAGAGTCATACAAATCAAATACTCACATAAAATGAATTGTCTGTGTTATGCGGGTCAATCAGACGTAAAATAAGATCAAGAAGCAGGAGGTAACGAGACGCTTTCAAAGTATCAAAGAACTTTAGCGTGGATAGAGGATGCACTAATGAACGCAAACTAAATGAACTCCCTTTGTTCCCAAAAAGACAAAAGAAAGAAAAGATAAATTCAGCCATCTGTCTGTCACCTACAGCTCAAAAGGAGCAGTCACAATTCACAAGAGCATGCACGTCTATCAGCTGTTTTAGTCAGATACCCTTTAACCACTTGTCTTAAACTATATGATGAAATGTGTCGCAGTGCAAATATTAATCGATGAGCCACAAAACCACACCAAAATACTTTTTCGACTACCCTACATTTCAGAAATGGTGGTGGTCATCTGGCATGATTATTTTTTAGATATGCCTCATGTATTTGTGAAGGAGAAGGGCAGATCATTCACAATAAGTTTTAGACCTGAAAATTTCCATTTCTTTACTTGTGTAAATGTGTATCTGTAATAGGTGGATTATCCACATCCAATATACAACATTGTTTTGCTCCGGAACCATGCATTCATGAAGCACAAAAATCTTGACCACGGAGAGCTCTAACTCAACATTTATGCTGAGCAATGAAGAATCTGCTCATTCGCTTTAGACTTTAAGGTATTATTCTAGGTCTTTCGAAGTTTTTCCCTTAAAACTTCTTGCAACTGGTGTGCCCAAATAGCACGGCTCACAAGTCCTACTCCAAAGTCTTGGGTTTACTCATACAGAAAAATTAGCAAGACCAAACAATGTATATGGTGGAAAGATATATAACAATACATTGGTGAAACATAGATCACAGGCTCCGAACCAGCTGACCTTTTGAACACGTCCAGTTATGGCAACCAAGCGACTTTTAATTTGACGAACTCGCTCCAAATTGAGAGTACTAATCTTTGAAGTGAGCTTATCTAAAGCTGGATGAGCCTCCTGCTCCAATGTCCTCGCCTAATTTTCACAAAGAAGAAGGTCAATTGTGATAACCAAACAAAAGAGAACTGCAGCCTTTCTAGGGTAAAAAAAAGTAAGAGCATCAGATTTACAAAGCTGAGAATTTACTTCAATTTCCAAGCAGCTGCAAGCAGCCTCCAAGCATGCCTCCAGTGCAACAAACTCAAACGGAGGAAGTTTCAGTCCCTCTCGATTCTCAAGTGCTTGTTTCACATCCATCTTAGCTTCTTCTTGACCTTCTAATCGTGACAAAACTACAGGAGAATTTCCAGGGCTGACAGCCCTTGATTGCAGCTCTTCTAAATCGTAAGTCCATCTTGAATCATCAGCATTCCCTTCCTATAAAGAGAGAGCAACATGACTACAAAAATACAGAAAAAGTCAAAGAACCAACAATTCAAACGATCTCCAAACTTGAGCCCATCTCACTAACTCGGAAACCTATCAAGGTTTTAAAAGAGTTGATTGGTCAGTGGCGCAATGAGGCATGTCAGTCAGTGACAAGGACAAGCTTGAAGTTGTGAACTGATACAAGCTGCAGAACCGAAATCTTACCAGTAATATTGGACCGATCATCTACGAGAACTAAACATACAAGCATAAACTTTCGAACACAAAGTAAGTTGCCAAGATAAACATCTTTCTGGCCGCACATTGAATGATATGGTCAGAATCCAGACGCCCACCACAAATCTTGAACAATCATAAACACTTTAAAACTGACAACACCCGCCATGAAGAGGAAAGCTCGGTGGCTCTCGAATTACGTCATCCCATGATCAAGAGAAACTTCAAGAACCCCAAAGAGACGGTGAAAGTTACAGAATTCACACCCGAATCAAGGAAATTCAAGAAATGAAGCAGGGGGCAAAGAAACAGAACCCCGACCTGGGCTTTGGTGGTGGCGTGGAAATGACGCGCGAGCCGCCTCTGCAGCTCCTCCACAAAGGGCGTCACGGAAGGGTCCCTCGAATTCAGCAGCAAGACCTCCTGCGCCGTGATGATGGCCTTGATGTGCTCCAAATTGATGACGATGGCCCTCTCGCGGCCGAGGATCGTGGACGGGTACGAGAGGAGCGGGTCCAAGATCCGGAGATCGCGGGCGGGGAGGCCCGTCCGGCGCATGATGGCGTGCTTGCCGGCCTCCACCACCTGGGCCTGCCCGTTCGAGTCCAGGAGCAGCCACGCCCGGACGCCGGTACCCTTCTTGCGGAGGGCGGCGGCGGCGGAGAGGGGGAGGTGGTGCTGCTGCTGGGCGGCGGGGGGCGGCGGCCGGGCGGGGTTGTCGGGGTCGGGGTCGTCGAGCTGGGCGAGCTTGGACGGGTGAGCGGGGTGGGCGCTCCTCATGGCTCAGGCCAGAATCTCAGCGAACCATTCCTGGGTCGATCGTCGACCCCTTTTCTTGATCGAGAGAGAGAGAGAGAGATGGGGATGGAAGCGAGGAGCGAAACTACATGAAAGCTAAATCCCAGCACCCTTGAGCTGGATGCAATGGACGAGATCACTCATCACCATGTTCGCTCCCTCGACATCTATGCTCTTGATCTCTTGCCGAGAGATTGTATGATAATGAACATGGTAGTCATGGTTTCAACTTTTGGACATACCCACACGCATGTAGAACGAGATATGGAACGAGCCTGTCCAAGTTTGAACTCAACTACCTAGGGGAAAATGTGACACCTAAAAAATAGGGAGTAACCGTCGATGCCACACCTCCATTACTTTAATATGTACAACCACCCCCCGCTGCACTTGTTTTGCTTATCACTTCGTGCAACGTACGTACTGGTTACGTGAGGTGAATTAGCGCAAAAGAAAATTCCAAATAATCGCGTGAAGTGTCCTCGTTTTCTGAAATAAAAGTTTAAAGTAGATTTTATCTTAAATATGGCCTTAAAATACCCTTATTTTTTGAAATAATGACATGAAGTAAACCTTATCTCAAATAAGAGCTTGAAGTGGCCATATCAATCTCAAAGAATGGCCTGACTTTGCTGGTTGAAGGGCATTTTCGTCTTTTACTTTTTTGAAATTTTTTTCATTTTCATTTTCTTTTTTCTTTTCCCTCTCCCTCCATCAACCATTGTTGGCGGAGGTCCCCGGACTCAGGCGAGGGTCACCCTCTCTCACCCAGTCCAGGCGGCCCGGCTAGACGATGCCCTTGCTGGATTTGGGGAGGAACAGCCTCACCCTTGCCTGAGGCCGTCGGAGGTCGCTGGTGATGGCCAAGAGAGGAAAGAGGGAAAAACAAAAAACGAAAAGGAGAAGAAAATAATAAAAAAAAATCAAAAAAATATCCTATAATTTTTTTGACTAAAATACCCATTTTCCGATGGCCGGAATAGTCATCGGCCGGCCAAAGTCCTTATTTGAGACGATTTGGCAACTTCAAACTCTTATTTAATAAAACGATGGCACTTTAGATCTTTATTTGAAATTTTCCCCAAGTTTGTATGATATCGTGATCATAAAGGAAGTCGAGCTCGATTGTATGTCGTGCAGATTTCTTTGTCGAGACGTGATTGCCCGATCAATGATTAAAGTTCAATTGAGAATGGCCGACGACTAGTTAATGTGTCAAGAAATTGACTTCCGATCAAAAAAGTAAATGGACCCTGATCTACTTTGGCGTCTAAAGGATTTTGTGAAGTTTGAATTGCCAAAATAATGTGCAGACCGTAAATTAGAAAAAAAAATCAACGAAATTGCCCAAAACTTTATTGGATCGGAACAAATAGCTTACTTCTTCGCTTGATCTCTAATAGCCTTGATTTGCCCGTTACTCTAGAGATGATATGTAACTGCTCTCCATTCCTTAGCCACAATAATCTCTGGTCGATGGATTCTCCTCGATTCAGTCTTCAACTTCCGTGCATGTTTCGAGTCAATCGATTGTGGCCAAGGGTCATGTGCTCCACCTAAACTCTACCCATTGGAAACTTATGGTTGATGAGCTCACTAAGCATTTCATCGATGATACTATGGGCCGATGGTATTGTTATGCCCTTCACGATCGATGAGTTTGATCGATTGGGTATGATGGGTTAAGTGTATTGTCACGATCTGGTTTGGGCCATTAATTTCTTAGGTAAATCAATGAAAATAATCGGGGACCGAAACGAAAAAATAAAAAACACAAAAATATATTCATGTCCTCTCTTAACTTCATCAACCAAGGCCCAAGTCATGTTTTCTTGATTACAAACATGGAAGGCACAAGACTGAAACCCCATCACAGGCTGTAATGAGACAACCATCTGTCCGCCATCTCCAAGCACTGCTTGGGATTGTACTCCGGAGCCGTGTGGCCTGCCCCCTGTTTCAAATGAAATGCATTGTCTCATTATCACCTTCTCCAATTCCTTTCGAAAAATTCAACATTCATCTGATTTGTTTGCGCTTGATTTCTTTACTGCTTACCTTTACAGTTGCATAGGTCATGCCATCTCCAAGTTTTATGGTGGACTTGAACGTGTATCTGTCGAATGAACCCGAGATAATCAAAACACAAGTTCAAATCCGCGGAAAAACACGCAGACGGTTCGCAGTGTGATCAAGAGAGACTGACCCGGCAACTTGGCCATCGACGAACCAGGGTCTCCAGTAGTCCAAGACGGTCATGTTAAGCGAATAGATCCACTTCTCCGTAGCCACGTACGGGATCAACATGTCGTGATCTCCGCTGCAATTTTTTTTTAACCGAAAAGGGGTGTTGTCATGGGAGTTTCAATCGGAGTAATTGCCTCCAAAATTGCAAGTGCTGTATGTAGCGATGGAGAAGAAAATACCTGTAAACCAGAGCTCGGTAACCGGCTTCGATGAGATCATAGTGATAAGGGACTGTCGAGTTGAGATCGTCTTCGTAAGCCAAGCTCTTGTTGCATCTCGTCCACTCTGGAATCGTCCCCTGCCCATCACATTGAATTCATTCCTTGTGTTCACTTCCAGGAAGAAAAAAAAAAAAACACATTCTTCGAATTCGAATTTGCGATTTTCGGAACTACTTACGTTACGGATATTAAGAGCGCTCTGGACGGATGGTTCGTTGGCCCACATGTAAGCAAGCACATAGTTCTCATTCTGCAAGGAAACACGAGTTTGTAATACGATGAGCACTGAGCTCTTGCGAGATCATGTGAATGTTTGAGTATGTTTGTGGCCTTACTCGACACCAGTTTTCTTTCCCTTTAGTAGATGGCGATTGGAGCAAGTCCAAAGGCATGTCGTCGTCGAAGAATTTGATTCCCCAGTTGAGTCCCGTCTCTCTCGATCTCGGTTTCGCATAACTGCACTTGGGTTCCAATATTGCTGCATCACATACCTTCAACGTGCACTGCAACGACAAGAGAAAATTCAATAAAGCTCACGCATAACTCGTTGGAAAAGCCACCTAAATTAAACGAAAGAAAGAAAGATCAATAGTGTGAAGGACCTCTGCGATCTGTCGAACATCCTCCACGCATGCAGTGTTCTCTGGGTCTGGGTTAATATAGTTTCCCTGGCAATTCTCTATGGCTGACTGATGGAAAAAAGAAGGAAAACCATATGATCTAAGAAGCGTGCTCATGATATAGCTAGGCAAGATCGCATGATCAGCCAGATCATCGGAAATTCGAAACTAGACCAAGAGAAGCAAACAGGAAGTGATCAAGTCTTACGTACTTCGTACAGCTCAGTCGATATCAATGATACCCGATACTGATATTCGACCCTCGAGTTCTGATCCGAGTCCAAATCCGTCACCGGATTGCCCAGCATGTACCCCTGATTTCATTTTAACGAAAAAGAGAAGTGTGTTAATTCCATTTTTTATGGAGTTAAACTTGATAACTAAGCGACATGAGTCAGTGGCGAGGTGTACTAGGAGATACAGGGTTGGCTTTTCTCCAGCAATAATCCCTGAAACATGGTTGAAATGGGCAAGAACAAAAAGAGCCAAGTAAAATTTAGCAAGAATTTATACTTCAAAACAAAGAAATTGGAAAGTCTCAGGTTGTAGCACATTCATAAGGTCAAGCACAAAGACTCAGATTATAATCACCATTCGATGCTAGAAGAGCGACTTGTGGTACGATCTTGCCGGAATACGAGTCGCCGGCTATGTAAAGTGGGTTGTTGCCAAACTTGGGATGGCCCAGTATCCACTGCATTTACACTTCTTTTTTTCAGTATTTTCATTCATCAATGTCATAATTGTGTGTTCTATTTCCGTAAACTGCAATGACATCCCAGATTATATTGGTTCTGAAATTAAATTCTCCCACAGAAAAAGCGAAAAAACCTGACCTTCCGGAGAAACTTGTATATGTCCTTAGCTGATTTAGTGTCTGTGGTGTAGTAACCCTCTTGGGTGGTCGAGTAAGAGAAACCGGTGCTGACGGGCGCGTCTAGGAATATAATGTTGGCTATCTGCAGATTCATCAGACATTTACCGAAAACTAAGGAAAGAAGAAGAGCGTCCCCAGTTAAACTTATATTGTTTCTGGTGATTGAAGATAGGCACCTGTGTCCACGAGTAAGGGTTCGGAAGCAATGTAGGTGAGCTCCCGTTGAACGTTGCATAGTCAAATTTTAAAGGTCCTGCGAGAAGAAAATCGATCGACACAATGCATGTGAGGTGTTACAGTCAGAAGTACCATCCATTTCAATGTATCGTGCAGAACGTTCAACTGCGTCCATCTTCCGTAAAGACGACATTGAAATTCCTGGTAACAGCATCACGGACCTGAAAGTGAGATTAGTATGAAGTATTCTAATCGAGAACTATTGAATGCTCCACCTTTGTGGGTGCCTCGGATGAGCAGTGTGAACTTAATCAAGCACAGTGCAACGGCCCGTCAGGTTTGGCAAGCACCATTCTCGTTGACCAGCCTCCGGCATGATTCTAGGATTGTTTGGTGGCACAATGTTCACAAACTCGTTTACCCCTGAGACCAACTCGTCGCTTCCCCAACTTTTGGGATAATTACCTCATTAGTGCTAAACGTATTATACGCATACCAATTCGGTCAAAAACTTATCAATTTTGTCAATGTAGTCCTAAATCTCCGTGCGAAATTCCAATGCAATCCTTCCGGTCAATTGCTGACGTGGCGTCCAGTCATTGCTATTCATCCCACGCAGCATGTTGACGTGGCCAATTTGCGGATCGCCATGTCAGCAATCTCTGGTACCAAATTGGTTGGAATGACTAAATTGAAATTTAGTGCAAAGATTTAGGACTACATTGGCAATATTGGAAAGTTTAGGACCGAACTGACATATGTACAAAAGGTTTAGGACTTTGGTGCCTATCGGACATTAGTGACCTCCTATCCACATGGTGGTCCAAGCGAAACTCAATGGTCGGAGGTTTACTACGCCTGGTTCCAAACTCATGTAAGTTTTGGTCTTCATTTCTGCTACCGGTTCACTAAATTTTCACTACCCTCTCGACTTTTATGATGATATAATTGATCATTCCTAAATTTCATGCTCATTCATTTATCCGAATCAGTGATGATCAGTCACCGCCATTAATAACTTGCCTAGACCAATTATCGTTTTTGGTAAGAAGTGGCATTTGTTTCTACGCATCAGCTGCTACTAGCTCCAACTTGTGCATACACCAAAACGATAAATAAATATAAACTTGTTCATGGATTATAATAATAAACTTTTGGCCGGAGAGAGCGAAAGGGAGGCGCACCGATTTCGAAAACCAGGCCGGAGAAACCGGAGCAACCGGGGCCGCCGGTGAGCCAAAGCAGAAGAGGGTCTCTGACCGGGTTCCTCTCCGATTCGATGAAGTAGTAGAACAACTCGATTTCATCGTTATCCCCAACGCTCACGTAGCTAGTTCAGCAACATTGTACCCCACACAAACTCAGTTTCAACAAGAAAAAATATAAAGCAGGAGAGCGACCTGCTACAAGCTCACTGGTGATAACTAGATGAATGTACTAAGACGTAAAATGCCGCAAAAATAAAAGAAATTCGAATCATATGCAGTCGATGCGTTGTAACTCACCCAGTTTCAAGCTTAAATGGGAGCTTCCCTGAATACCCAGGTAGATATTCAACGATGGTGTTGGCCACTGCAAATGTGTTGATCTTCAGGGCAAGCAACAGCACAGCCCCGAGAAAGAGCTTCTTCGTCGCCGTCCCCGTCGTTCTCCGACTCGAACACTGGTCCACCGCCATTTCTCGTGGCGGCCGAGGAGAGAGATTGTTGGAGCTTAAGTACTATTTACGAAGCAAACTGAAAAAGCGTATAGATCAAATGGACCCTGGAGAGAGACACAATGGACACTGAAGAGAGAAGTTGGTAGAAGTGCTAATGCTAAATTGCTAATGTATGAGAGGAGCATAGAGGGACTCAAATGGGTTTCGTTTCATTAGGTTTTTTATTTGTTTTTTTAACGTGGTGTGTGGACATAATACTGCCCATTCTCGGTCAAAGATTGAAATGGCAGCGGCTCCAAAGATTTGTGCAATGGTGGAGCTGTTGGTCTAAGTTGCGAGGGAGGATAGTTTGGTGGGCCTTTCGAAATTTAAAAGTGGAAACCATAGATATAATAATACCCATCGAAGTCAAGTACCTGTGAAAGTCCATCTAACTTTCCATTTGGCAATCTTCTTTTCTCAATGAATGAATGTCTGCGAAGATCTCCTTTAGCTACATGTCTCATCTTTCGGAAAGTCTTTTTTTCTTAGGTACAGTAACGAGAAGATAACGAGAGATGCTATAATCACGGGCAATAGTAAGAGTATGGGATTTGACCAGTTTGAGCATGTATTAGGGGACACTGTATCTAACTTTCCAAGAAGTGCCGGGACTACATTTGTAAGTCGATTTGGAATGGGAGTTCGAATTCGAGCATGCGAGAAATTGATTTGGAATCACGTCGTTCATATCATGAATTGGAGAGAGGAAGAGCTAAGGCGGGTTCGACCCTACTTCGAAGCGTTTTTACTAGGATTAGAACAATTCTAGAACTAACTTTAGCGTGACAAAAATAAAATAAAAATGGAACTAGGACAATCTCACGGGATTCGCATAGTACTTACAACCGGCCTTATGTGTGGAGATCAACACCACAACGGGATAGATTCGCTTCGCACATCGTTACCTGCAAACAATGCCGTGTTTGAGCTTTTGTCTTATTGAGGTATTTGAGGTGTGTGATTTTTCATGAGATGCCCAAGAAAGTTTAATGATGTCATTGTGCCAAATCTGCGATATGTCACTATTTGATGATCAAGAGTAGTTTTAGGAATACGATCAGAATCAAAGTCGAGATTTCAGTTTTGGCATGGATTGCACGATGTACAGGACAAGATTTACATAGAAACAAGACGAATGGGGTATCATGTGATCAGATTGGCATAAGATGGTTAATTTTTTCGGTTATTTTTGTTTGATCCAACGAATTTGTCCATTCCATTCCGCTTATTCTCTTTTTGGGTCCCATATACGATGACTTTTAGATTACAAGGTATATCCACGAGTCGCACGTTAAGAGCTTGGAAAAGTGTTCCATCGAGTAGAGATAAATGACAATGATTTTGATTTGCGATGCAAAGAAAAGATAACGTCCATATTCGATTCACCTGCGTGCACATCCTAACATATTGGGGTGGTTTGAAAGATTGGTAGCGTCTTGACTTCTGAAATTTAGGTCTCAAAACACGTGGATAATGCTAGCGAAAATCAATGAGTTCCCTAGTTAGCAAATATGACTCAAAAGAAAAGTTGATCCGGACGAGTGGACGGACATGCCATGGACAGACCATGCATTGATAGGAGGCATGACAATTCGATAGGGATGCTCATTGCTTCTTCATGTCATGGACGTGCCCTATGCTTATTCACGACTGGCCCTAGAATTATCCCAACAATCTCGTAAATAAGTTGTACTACGTGAGCCGAAGCCTGAGTGGATGGGTCGAACGTGAAATGGTGCGAGAAACCGAACATGTTCTTTATTTCTCCCACAATGTTACAGTCACATGGTTCATTTGAAGTACTGATGTGACTGAGTGACATCCAGCAGAACACTCCTTACATGAATTGCAGCTTATTAGTCTCACTTTGGGAGCTTCAGCAAAAGCGGCTGAGAACTAGAGAGGGTAATTAGCAAACCACCTGTAAATCATGGCTAGAGTCTCTTTGGGCTTGTATTCTGGAGCTGTATGACCGGCTCCCTGTGCAGAAAACACGTCGAACATGAGAGAGTTTTCTGCAACGTGATTGATATAGTCCGTCACATCCACATCATTCCACGAATTAAGTCTCTATAATATCTTTACCAAGCATCACATGCGAATAATTATGTACCTTGACAGTTGCATATGTCAACTTATAGTTGTCATGCTCATACTGGAGGGTGTACCTGCAATTCAAAATTAGCAATGCAAATTCTGGGTGAGGTTTGGTCAAGAATAGCAGAAATCATGTGTATACTTATGTTTGCAGACATACTAACCCAGCGACTTGACCGTCCACGAACCAGGCCTCCCAATCAGTGGAGAGAGAGAGATTTAAAGTTTCGATCCATGCCATTGTGCCGATATATGGAACAACCATGTCGTGATCTCCACTGTAACATCACAGATGGTAACTAATTCGGCTTACAGTACATTATTTCGATATTGTACTTCTTGAATTGCAATATTATGTTTTCATTATTCCCGGTACCTATAAATAAGGGCTCGCAGTTTTTTCTCGGTGAGATTTCGGTGATAATCAGTGGATTTCAGGACATCATGAGCGTAAGATGAGCTCTCATTGCACCTTATCCACTCTGTTTTAGTCCCCTGGCCGTGCGAGCAGGAGTGAGCAAGATGACCTAGAAACAATCAGATCGGCAACATATATTAATCCGAATAATCAACAGTGCAATACCTCTCGTATTTGGAGAGCCTTTTGAACAGTCTCGTCATTAGCCCATACGTAGCAATAGAGGTAATCATAATTCTGCACAGCGAAAATTGCTTCACTTGAAACAGTCGTCAAAGCATTTAAATGAATGTAATCTAGAAGAGAATGAATATATTTACTCGGCACCACGGTCTGGGAAATTCGTGCAATGATAAGGGGTTGATCTCTGAGTTGCCATGCTCGAGAATTCGTCGATCCCATTTCAGGAAATTCGGTCTTGGAGTCGATGTACTACACTTTGGTTCCAATACATGGGCATTGAATATCTTCTCAACACACTGTCAAATGGGAGAATGAACTAACAAATCGCCAATGATCGGGTAGATGGTACTCTTACATAGATGCATCGATACAATCATATTTACCTCGACAACAGATTGAAGATCGACTCCACAGTCCACGTTTTCGGGATCGACATGCATGTATTCGCCCTTACAGTTGTTCTTAGCTGACTTGAATTTCATTTGGTATTCAAATGCTTCTTCATCAGCCATTGCAAGTCAAGGGGAACCAACAAAGACATCGGATGGAAAATCAAATAAAAACTCAGTGGAATCTACCTTATAGAGTTCGTCTGATATAAGTGCTTTTCGATGCGCAAATACGACCCTCGAATTCAAGTCGTAAAGTACATCCGTCAAGGGATTGCCAAGCACATATCCCTGGATTCGTGAAGCAAAAAAGTCATCTGAGAATCATGGAACTTTGTAGTCTTAACATGTTTTGTGCTGGTAAATGCATGTATACCTTGATATTCAACGGTGGAAGATGTCCAACTTCATTACCTAGAAAAATTCGAGACATCACATCATTAGGAAAACAATGGTAAGATTATGGTGAAACCAGTACACATTTTCTCTGTTTGAAGATCTTTAAATCGAGACCTTCCAGCTAAACTAGAACAACAATGTTTCGAGAGCTATGGTTACCATTAACAACTTCGGTGACAATGATAGGGATCGTCATGCCCGAATAAGAGTCGCCGGTGATGTAAAGTGGGTTGGACAGAAACTCGGGATGAACCATAAGCCACTGTGTCGATCATTAGAAAATGATGTTAAAAAGAAACTGATAGCACCACTATGTGCTTGGCTGAAACACAATCAATCGATGGTGCGGCATGACATGAACAAGAATTCACCAAGTTAGGTGAGGACCCCTCCAAGAGGCCCATCTGGTAAGTCAACTGAAGTAACAAGCCCAAAGAAGGGCATCATGAATTGTTTTTTGGTCAGCATTTACAGAGTCAAAGAGCTTGATCCAAAGTGAATAAACCCGTCACTTGGGAAAGGAAGATCAGTATCTCATCTAACCTTTCGCAGGAACTGATATGTTTCGGCAGCTGAACTCAAGTCGCCAGTGTGATAACCTTCTTGAGTAGTCGAGTACGAGAATCCAGTGCCAACAGGTTGGTCCAGGAATATTATGTTCGCGACCTGAAAAAATTTAGGTGATACATGAAGCTCCGTGCGCGAACCAACCGCCAAGTGAAGCATGCACAGACATTGCTCAATGTCTCGTACCTTGGTCCATGAGTATGGATTCAGCAGGAAGCTTGGCCTGTTCCCACTTGAGTTATCGTAGTTGAAATTTAATGGACCTAAGAACAAAAGACATTCTTCATGGTAATGACTACGGAAATTTCTACTTTTCTAGTAGTCGTGGTCCTAGTCTTTTGTTTAGCTGAGTTTGATTTTCCACCAAGCACTGATTGCTAATTTGACAACAAAGTACGACCTCGCATTCCAAAAGACAAAATAAAAAAAGGAGTAGTTTCGTGCTCTTTTATAATTGATTTACAGCCAAAATAAGAAAATACCTAGGCTGTTCAAACAACTTTAGTTAAATAGTTGTGCTCTAGAGCAATTGAATGTCAACTTCAAATATTTTTCAACTTGAAATGTTCTTTGAGAATTTTCTAGGTTCTCTAGAGCACATGCTTCTTAAAACTGTCCATAGTAGGCGAAGTAAAAACTTGTAAATTTTAGGATAGGCGAGATTAAAGAAAATTCACAATATCCAACTAATGAAAGAAAGGCGTCATATATAAGTGTTATATTCAATCACTAATAGTTACGTCAGGCAACAAATAATTAGGAGGTAACGGCCCTTGTCAGCCTCTCTCGAAACCATCGTTACTTGTAGAATGAACTTATTTATTCTTTCTTTCGATAAAAAAAAAACTTAGTTATTTTTTCCACAAATATATTAGGGATAAGTGTACTAGAAGTCCTAAAACTTATCACAAAAGTGCAATTGAGTCCTAAAACTTTCAAAAAGTGCAAATAAGTCATAAAACTTATCATGAAAGTGCACTTGAGTCTTAAAATTTTCAAAAGTGCAAATAAGTCCTAAAACTTGTCGCTGAAAGTGCAAACAAATCCTAAAACTTGTCACAAAAATGCAAACAAGTCCTAGAACTTTCAAAAAGTACAATCAATGGAAGGACTTGATTGAACCAATTTATCAAGTTTTAGGACTTGTTTGCACTTTCGTGACAAGTTTTAGGACTTGTTTGCACTTTTTAAAAGTTTTAGGACTCAAGTCACTTTCGTGAAGCGACAAGTTTTAGGACTTGTTTGCACTTTTGAAAGTTTTAGGACTCAATTGCACTTTCGTCACAAGTTTTAGGACTAAGTTTAGGACTTTGAATACACTTATCCCAATATTTTATAATATCTTGTGATTCCTATTTGGGATTAAATCATGTTCATTACTAGCCTAACTGCATTTTTACTTCTCACCGGTAACGGTGCAATTTGAATCAGACTTGAAACTTGAAACAATGGGTGGTTGTGGCTGCACCATTACTCTCCTAGGAGGGAGCGCTGTCACACATTCATTTTTAATATTATAAAGGGATATAATAAGCTATAGAAAAACACGAAACATTACACAAATCTTCATCTTTCCGCATTGTGATGGATTTTTCAGTTTTGCTAGTCCTAGAACACGAGTACTCAATACCTCCATGTCTATCAAAGATGGTTTATCTAATTCAAAATACAATAAGAAAATTTCGTCCAAAAACGAAGTATTTCGGGTGTAATCCTGTTTGTTATCTTATGAACTTATGATCATATATCATCACAAGTCCTGGTCCCACATGCTTATCTTATCTTGAAGGTATTGCTACATTTAAGCTTTAGAAAAGGATTCTCTACCTAGAAAAAATCACGACGAGCGGATGATCTCTGTCACCTTCTTTTCCACTTTGCACCTTACTAAAGGAAAGCTAACGTTCAACCTCGTGTCTACCGAATTTTCAACTTGTAACTTCATGTAATTGAACTTCACCATCATCACTACTGCTTTCCCTTTCTTCTACAACTCAAGAAGAGCTGGGCTAGACTAGAGATCATCAGACACTTTTGAAGGACTCGGCATACCGATTTCGTAGATGAGGCCGGAGAGGCTAGAGCAACCAGGGCCTCCGGTGAGCCAAAGCATCATAGGGTCGTCCTTCGGACTCCTTTCCGACTCGATGAAGTAGTAAAATAGCTGCACGTCATCAAACTCTCCAACTCCAATGTACCTTCATTAATCACTCGTAGTTACATACTAGTTGCTCTTTGACCATAACATACACTGGCATTGCAAGACTTATCCGTTGGATGGGCATAAATATTACTTACCCAGTTTCGAGCTTGAAGGGGAGATCGCCAGCAAACCCGGGTAGACTTTTGATGATCGACTGAGATTGGACCGTGCTGAAGAAAACGAGCAGTGACAACAAGAGGTGTGACAAAATGGATCCCATCGTGAAATTGTTGGAGAACCAGCTTGGAGTAGAACTAGAAAGCAGAGGATTGACAGTTTAGGAGTTCACTCATCAAGTTAGTTGTTGAAGTGCGTGTGTAATGTATATATATGAAGTTGTTTGTACTTCTGTTTCTGGTCAGTTTTGTTCAAGCGACGAGGTTCAAGCCGATGCTCGACACCGACAGCATTATCGAATGATGAACGGGGGATGTCCACTCAAAACGGCTAAAAAGTGGCTAAACTCAAAGTGAGTGGTTCCTTCATGCCTGATACAAAAAAGACATGTTGGATATATATCGTGGATCCCTTTCTTAGTCGCATAGAAGTTTTTGAAACGAAACGGTTTAGTATACTGAAAGTTGATCGTTGGGACTCCAATTCACTGACACAGCCACACCTGCGAATTTTGTTGCTCTTTACTTTTAGTTAATCGTATTCGTATCCTATGAATCAAGTGGGGGTGTTTTGAAAGGCAGCAATGAGAAAAGATGGAGATTGAAGCAGCTGACTTTCCTTATATTCCGGAGGTTAATAACCGAAGAAATCCCACATGCCTAATGTGGGGAGTCTATTTACTTAGCCAAGCACCAAGATAAGTAAAAAACTAAAAAGAGGTACTTAATTTAACAATAATGAATGTGCGACACTCGAGATTATATGAATGCAACTCTCGAAGTACTTCTTTTGGGGAATTGAGCCCGCGTTAATTCAATCTTAACATCTTTTGTGATTTTAATGGGTCAACATAAGTGTTAGTGTATCCAACAATGTACTTCTCGTGCAAGAATTTATTGCGATCCGGTGTACTCATAAGTGTTAGAGTGAGAAAACATATAGTTAAGGGTGAGGTTTAGCTACAGACGCTGCTGTCAGGATACATGCGAAACATTTATTAGGTGTTTGATCACCCCGATGTACACATAACACAAGAAAAAAACAGTATCATCAAGGCAAGGCAAGATAACATGGTAAAGAATAATTGATAATAAATACTAGCTGGGGCTCTCCCTTGGATGTGAGGTCAGACTCAAATCCAAGTCCGGCTCTCCCCCTCAGCCCAACTTGAACCCAGCCGACCTAAAGAGGGAGTTATGACAAATGCTTATCTACATTTGGAGGGTCATTGAGTAGCATTTCTGCAGGACTAGAAAAGAAAGAGAAAAGAAGAAATCAAAGGAAGAAGAAGAGAGAGAAATGATGTTTGATGAGTAGACCTCTCAAACTGTCAGGTCGGATCGAGTTAAAAATGGTCTGACCCAAATTGACTCATTCAATCCGTTTTGACCCATTCCATTTAATACAAATTTAGTGAGTCATATTCGACCCGACCCACATTGCTAAAACACATCTATATTTAACCAAATTTAGGAAAACTCATATACAAACTAAGGTGAGAGTATGGAATGAGTGAGCACAAAATCGAGTGAGGGCAAGAGAAAGTAAAGAAAGAGTCATAGAGGTGTGTTTGATCTAAAAGTTGCGCACCCATTTAACACCCATATTATTTTAGGCATTACCATTCTAAATCCATTTATGACCCATTTGCTAAATATAATTAACTTGTGTAACAACTCAACCTATCAAATATGGGTTACGAAATAAGTCTATGATCCATTTTGTCAAGTGTACTGAGGAGTTGGGGATGTGTTGTGGGTTGACTAAATTTGAAGGTTTTGGTTCTTTTTAGGCTCTTGCAAAAGAGATTTTGAGTCGGGACTTTAATACGGGATATTATATGCACACATCGGTAATAGAGGAGTTTTGTCAATGTGCCTCACATGTATGGCCGTCAAACGGATGGGTCGGATTCAAAATGGTCCGACCTAAATTAATCCATTTAATCCATCCCAACCCATTTTATGCTTTACAAATCTAGCTATCCGATCCATATCCGACTTGATCCGAGAATCATTTTAAGTAATTATTCACCTTAAATTGTTGCCTTTGAAGACGGATAGGTCCATGGACCGGCTCGTTGAGTTAGTGAGGGAACTCAAGGGTTGGCTTACGAACGAGGGTGTAAAGGTAGTGGTGAAAGTTCGATCCAAGCCGTCCATAAAATATGAAACAGGTTTGGGCTTTGATTTTTGGAATAGGCGAGGGTCAGTGTCATCCTCGAAGAAAGAAAATAAAAATAAAAAATTCAAGAAAATTAAAAAATGCATAAAATTGTCTACATCAGCACTGGCCGTGCTGCGTAGGACAGCCGATGTCCACGTCAATGATTTCCAATCAAAATTGACGGGAATGACTATATTGGCAAATCGTTAAAATGTTTAGGACGAAATTGATCAAATTGAAAAATTTAGGACTGAGTTGGCATCCGTAAAGTAAATTTAGGACTTTTTGGGTAATTCTCTCACGAAGTATCAATGTTATATAATGAACTAGCAAAAGAAAGGAGAAACCTCCACTAGAGACTTCAAGGTTGGAGTCGAACGCCATGAGAACTATTATATTATTCACTGCTCGAGCAATGTTGCCTACGTACACGTGAAATTGGCTTGCAAAAGTTAGTTTTAAGGAGTTGTAATTAGGAAAAAAACGACACATCAAAGTGGTGACCCAAGGGAAATCAAGAAAAGAGAGAATGAAACAAAACAAAAGAAATGATAAAGATTGAGGAGGAAATGTTCCCAACTATGTACGTGAAAATGAGCAGCATATATACTAAGGGTAAACGGTTCCGGGGTTCATATAAGTTCGCATATTTTTTGTAATTTGGAACCTACTCTATATATTCTAGACCTGGAACCTCCATTGTTATAGGTTCCAGGGTTTACCTAGGTTCCACCTGTATTATTAATTGAACTATTGCAGTGAATCATCACTTTTAATGACCACCATTTACTGTAATTCACTGACCACAACTTATATTTGGACTGGCGAAGAATATGAAAGATTAACAAAGTAAAAGTCTCAGTCATAAAATAGAACTTCAGATTAGTGGTTCCAAATTATATACTCATCATCGGACGTCATGGAATATCACATGATTGCACGAATATATAGACAAAGAAAAACTCAAAAACTTGTTACAAGTTCTAAGTTCCATCGACCTAAAACTTGTAACCTACCGGTCGAAAGAGGTTTATTAATTTTTGAAACCTGAAACCTACTATTCATACTTTAAAACTTGGAATCGAACAGATTCCCACCGGTCCGATTCTCTGGTTCCAGGTTCTATCCTAGAACTATGCTCATCCCCAATGTATACTGATTAAGGAATTCGGAAAGACCATGTTTATCTATTTTGGGTGTGTTTCGTCGGAGTTTGAATATGCGACAAGATATCTTAATCGAAAATTGTTCTTCAATTTTATTTAAGGAGACAAGTTTTGTGGCGACTCCGAACAGAAAATATCACAGGTAGAGAAGAGAATCGGTGATTTCACTTCAAGTGAAACGGAACGTGCACAAATTATTCCATAAGTTAATTGACGATTAAGCTTGAGAATGTAATAACTCCAAACGGAACCAAACGTACACAAATTATGCTGGAATATAATCGATGATAAAGCCTGAGAACGTAAAGATTTAACACTAGAATTTAAAAGACGACGAGGTACCCGAGATATACAGCAAAGATACACGCTAGAATTTAGTCGACGACGTGAATCTGGAAACTATAACTAAGAAACACGCTTGATTTAAATTGACGACACAAGTTTGGAAATTATAACTACTATGCAGGAATCGAAAGATAATATGTTTGTTTATTTGTGCCCGGGGGGGGGGCACTTCGAAGAGTTCGATGTGGCTATTTAAAGCCTGCAATCGACGCTTATTAACGAAGGTTACAAACACAAATGGTAACCTAATGATTACATTGACTCAACTACCGTTTTCTTCGACTTCACTATTTTTACGGTTGCTTTATTTCACTATGTTGACGGTTGCTTCTTTGACGGTAGTATTCGAGATTGTCGACTCTACTTTTCCTCGATTCCTTCAAGCTGTTGATTCATCAAGTTATTGATTTTTCAAGTTGTCAATAATTATGTTTACAAATGACCAAACTCCGTTCTCATCATTAAGTCCTTCACATGTCGATAATTACCAGAAGGGCCTCTCGAAGGGGCCTCACCTAACTTGGTGAATTCTTGTTCATGTTTTTCAGTTCCATCAATTGATGGTTTGATTAATTTGACGTGAAATGACTTAATTCCCCCTATTTCTTGTACACAATTGAAGTTCAATGGGCCAAATTAGAATATAATTGATCAAACTGGATTATAGTCTAGAATGGATCAAATTGAATTGAGTCAATTAAGGCATTCCGTCATAGATTTTTCTAATGCATGTTAAATAATTTAGTCAAATTAAGCCCAATGGAAGTGATTTTGTCAAAATTGACATTGGAATTGATTTCCATCCAACCAACTTTGTCCAATTTTGACTATTTTGTACTAGGGGTAATCAGTTCCAGGGTGGGTAGGTTCTAGACCTGGAACCTGAAACTTACCCTGTTATAATCGATTCTCGATTTATGGAACCTGGAACCTGCCATGTTTGTCTTGGAACCTGTTTTGAAACCTACCCTGTTTTCCAGTCCGATTTTAGGGTCTACCTGAGAACCTATTTTTTTTTTTTGTTCCTTTTTTTGGTTTCATTTTTTCCAGCAAAAAATATGAACAGTAATAAAACGATTCAAAGTAAAAGATGAATAATACAAATCACTATTCGCCAAAAGCAACAATCCCTAAGATGAGCAATAAAAATTACTATCCACCAAAAGCATAATCCAAAATATAGTAATTGTATGATCTACGATTTTTTTTTGACACAAGCTAAAACCGGTTCCAAAACCAGTTCGGGTGGGTCTTCACTTGGAACCGGGAACCGGACCAATTTCAATTGGTTCCCAAAAAATGGAACTGATTCCCGGACCTATTTTTTCGGTGGTCCGATCCGATTCCTAGGTAAATCCAGTCCGGTTGCACACCCCTATTTTACACTAATCATGAAGTATTGATTCGGAACCCCTAATTGGGTCAAAATTGGGGAAATTTACCTATGACTTGTAATCTCAAAATTGTCTTGACAATTGGAATAGCTGCAACCTATAGATAAAATGTTGTGAAAGAAACTATCTCAAAAGACAACTAGAAATGAACTAATTTTGATTTTGGCCAATTAGCCATCAAAATTTTCAAATTGGGGAAAAGTCGATTTCTAATCAATTTTTGTAAATTTGACAATGCATAAGTCAAATTAAGGTAAAAGGAAATGATTTGATGATTTTTCATTTTATTTTAAAAATTTAGTGGTTGACTTGAGTAATTTGACCAAAAAGTTCGCTCTTAACACTTTTCAAGTTTATGGGCCAAATCAATGTCTTGACTTAAATAAAACACGATGGAACTAAAAATTTGACTAAAAACACTAAAACAACTCTTTTTGGATGAGAAATGAGCCATGTCGCAATTAAAAACTCTAATATCAAATTTTTATCATTATATATACGTGTTGGCTGAAAATTATGTGTCAATACCTAA